GAGAGTTGGGCTTGTTCAGCCTGGAGAAAAGGAGGCTCTGGGGAGACCTTATAGCACCTTCCAGTGCCTGAAGGGGGCCTAAAAGGATGCTGGGAGAGGACTTTTTACAAGGGCCTGTAGTGACAGGACAAGGGGTAATGGGTTTAAATTGAAAACAGGAAGGTTTAGATTAGGTATTAGGAAGAAATTCTTCCCAGAGAGGGTGAGGAGGCACTGGGACAGGTTGCCCAGAGAAGCTGCGGATGCCCCATCCCTGGAAGTGTCCCAGGCCAGGCTGGATGAGGCTTGGAGCAACCTGGTCTAGTGCAAGGTGTCCCTGCCCATGGCAGGGGGGTTGGAACTCGATGATCTTTAAGGTCCCTTCCAAACCAAACCATTCTGTGATTCTATGATGAGCGGATTTTAGATTCACACTGAGCTCATCCTTAGATTTTCTCACCTTCTTGCCCCGAAGCACTAACAGCTGAACATCACTCCAGGAGACGCATGTAAACACGTGCTCTGAATCATCCAGGACATGTTCCAGTCACACCTGGGCTGTTCCCCTTCTCAAAACAAGGACGCGGTCTCCCTCCTTCTTCCCACTCCCAAACCCCACAACAAAACTCTAAATGAAGAGAGAGGAAATAATTTATTTGGGAGCTCGTAAGCAAACTAACAGACAAGCCTTGTGACACTTTAAAGATAATGTAGAATCTTTAAGATGGGAAAATTTATACTCTGCCTTAACTACATTAGAAACGCTACTACGCACAGTTCAAGAGTCCTGATGGTTCTTCCCCCAGCTCGATAATACTTGAAAGAGATGGAACACAAAAGGGACCTGGAATATCACAAAGGCATGTTAAAAGTAGGAACAACCAGGCAACAGCAGCGTTACGCTTTCTTTTCACAACTAAATAGAAAGATGCTTAGTATTTACGAAGTGCTGAAGGTCTGGAAAGAAGGCTGACTTAGTAGATACTGCAATATAAAATGAACACAGCCTGTGAGTTAAACTGCCATGTAACATGGAACCCACAGGAAAAATCCAAGTCAGCGGTAACAACACTACCTCAGTGCAGAGGGCAACCGAAACCAACCCCAGCAGGAAGGCAGCAGCGATTAGCCGCTGATTAACAGTTCGATCCCAAATATTTCACTGTGAGATAGTGCTAACTCTTCTCCACTCCAAGTAAGGAAGGTACAAGCCAAGTTAACTGCAGGTTGATTCTCAAGTACCAAGACAGCAGTAATCACTGAATGATTTAAAATACTGGTCAACCCTTTAGTGTTGTTAAGAACTGCTCTGCACCGTATTTTACCAAGTGTATCATGATTATAGCTATTTAAAGGTAACCTGAAGACATCCTCGGGGGGAGCTCAGTGCAGCCCCACGCACACCAGCAGGACACTTGCAGGCCGTAAAAGCTAAGGAACTGGACCACAAATTAGCGAATTACGTGACCTTTGAGGAAGACGAAGTCCTTTCGAGACTAGGAGCCTTCGGTGGGTCTAGTCACGCAACACAGACAACATTATTTTTTTTTTTCCCCCTGAAAAAGTGCCCTTTGCTTTTAACATTACCAAGTTAGTCGAAGCTCTACAGCGTATGAACTCCTCCCCACACCTACTCTAGCTGAAAACTCAGGTGCAGTTGAGTGCTACAGGAAACATTGCACAAAAAAGGATACAACAAGAAAGGATACACTCTGCATGACAGTATTACTGCAGTATTTACGCAGGAATGTTTCTAAAGAAGAACAGCAGAATGTGGTTTAATTTGACTTGGTTCTCAGTATTGCATACACATAACTTTATGCTGCCAATCAAAAGCAAATACGCCTCTTGGGTAAAACACAGTTCTGACCCCTTAGGAGATTTCTCGAGAGCTGACGAGTCCACCAATGCTAACCTCCGTAGTCAAAAGGAAACACATTTTGTTGGTAACTTGAACTACCAGAGCAACACCAGATTGGTCTGTCTCATTACTTCAGGTCTTTGCCATGTCACAGACTCACTTTTTCCACCAGGTCCCAAACCCAATCATGTTTCCAAGCAGTGCAGGCTTTCCAGTCGCTTCTTCCCTATGAGAAGCTGGAGACCTCTCAACATCAGTGTCTTCTATGTAACTTTTCCTCCCCCAAAGCTGTATTTTAGCTACAGAAAGAATATTCACCCCCAATCCTAACTGGAATTTTTGTCAGTCCATCATGAAAAAGACATTTCAGCCATCAAGGACTTACATGGCATTTTTATGATCCTACAAAGGATAAAACCTTTGTAGAGAAAATAACTAAAAAACAGTTAACAAAAATACTTGCAGTCCCATTCATAAATTTAACACAGCTTCTTCCTGTTTAAAAATTTGATAATCAGGAGTTGAACTCTTATCTATTAAGTTGTTAGCAAAACCTACAACAGTGAGACACAGGATAGAGACCAAATTTGAAGTCCCTCACGTGTTTGCATAAACTTGTTTACGTGCGTATCCGTGTTTCAAATCAGACCCTGACACCGTGCTTCCTGTCAGCCTCACACTGCTATCACCGACTTTTTCATCGCAGTTCAGCATCCAGCAGGATATTCCAGCAGGGTAAGGAAGAAGCTGTCCCCGATACATTAAACCAATGACACCAAGGTAACTCACGTAAGACTTGAGGTGCACAAATGAGTCTTACATAAGCACGTGTTTGCTCACTCTAAAAATAGCTTCTGGGCTGACCACCAACATGACTGGTACCAAATAAGCACCTCATTATTTTCCTTATGTAGTTCAAGTATTACTTAGTGAAGTCATTTAGTGAAGTCAGAATTAGATGTAATGCATAAAACTAGTTGGAAAGACATGGAATTCCTAAAAGAATAAAGGTGTTTACACTTCACGTGTAAGGCTTTCCAATAGCTAAAATACTTCAACAGGGTTTTTTGCATTTAAAGAAACCTTAGGCATTTTCTTCTTAGACACTGGATAAAATAATATATTTTTTCTAACAAGGATAATATACTATAAGTACGAGGTTGATTTTTTTTTTCTACCAAGGAAGGAATAAGAAACAAGACTTTTTCCCATAAACCCCTGTTCCTAACAGAACAGGTCAGCCAAGGCTCATCTGTCTTTTCACTGACCACTGCAGAAGAATCACTGAAAAAAAAGTGATCTTTGGTAAAATATAGCACAGATTCTGCAAACCACAAATCAGTAACTCAAAACAGGAGCTGGTAAGACCAAAGAGCATCTCAGAAATGAGGGAAACAAGCTCAAATATAATCTGATGGGAAAATCCTTTGCCAGCTGACAGAACAAGAAACCTACAATTGAAGTAACTTATAAATAGAAACACCACAATAACCATACCCGTTTTTAGAAATCAAAACTAGCCATTCACATCCTTCATTTCACACTTCAGGGTTTTTTTCTAAGTAACAATGATCAAAACACCCAGACTAAAACCACATTATGGATTAAGTGGAGTTTTCAGAAGCACTCAGCCTTAACTCTGTTTGGCTGTAGGTGGAGGCATAAGCAGTGATGCCCAGCTGTAACCGAGTTAAGGGCCCTTCAAACCTGAGCTGGCTGATCTATCGGACAGCACACACCGAGAGGACCTACGCATCCCACCACAGAGGAAGCCTTGATCCGTGCAACATCATCATTTCCTAAATCAGGCAAGTTTAAAGGATGCTGCAACAGCACTGAACCCTCAGTTTCCAGAGTCGGCAAAGCCAAAGGTCCTTACGGAGCTAGCAGGGGCAAGTTTATTGATGGAAACAGCTCTTCAGGATCACTTTACAATGGCGGGGACAGAAAAGAAGGAGAAAATAAGCAAATCTTTGAAAAGCCGAAACTCCAGAAGATTACTAAAAGGAAGTGGTCCCATTCCACAGAATTATTCTCCTTAGCTCCCCAGATTAAGGATTAGAGAAACCCTCAACTACTCCGGGACATCAGGATTAGAAAAACCAGCAGTTTTTAAACCGAGGAAGAAGCAGTACTTCAAACACACGCCAACTCTGTACCTTGCTTTCTGGTTTTCTGATACAAGCGCACACTTAAGAAAATTGCAAGGAGCATTTCCCCTCCACCATTACTATTCCCAAAGAAGCCACTAACAAGGTAATAAATACACAAAATCACAATAAAACGAACTACCAAAAACCCAGCCTGTATTTCATTTTCAGGCACAGCATCCATACCTTGTGCAGCGTTCTACTTCTTCCTTTTCCCCTCGTTGGCATCCTGCTTTGGTCTAGCTGAACGAGCAAATTGCTGAGACTCCGTTAAGGACTGCAAGTGTCAGTGATAAACACAAGCCAACCAAGAAGGAAAATTGTTTCAGCAAAAGATAGTTTAAAGAGCGGCCTTTATCTGTGAATCAATTCTACATGTGTGAAGTATTACAACCACAGTGCCTGTTAGTCAAAAGTGAGGACGTCACTGACCTGCAGTACAGAAGATGTTAGAGAGCCTGTGCAGGAGCTCACAGTAAGCGAGGAGGACTAACCAGGACTGGGTTAGCTGCAAAAAGAGTAACTACAGCCGGATAAATGCTTGATATTTACAATCCTCCATCCCAGCAGGTTAACTCCATAACTCTGGGAGGAAAAAAGCTAAGAGCCATAGAGGTTGGGGTGAACAAGAGTACAAAAGGAAATAAACTATGACACGTTTACATGAAAAATACAAAAGGACTTACAGACACAAACCAGGGTGTAGAAATCCCAACAGGTTACACAGGCTCAAAAAGTAACTGGCAGTTCCAGGGGGAGAAGGAGTCTAACAGAGTCCACCGACCTGGACAGGAACATCTCCTTATGTTCTTAATTTGTAAGCACCGGCTTAACCACGTCAGAAAGCCAAGTCTCTAATTGAGATGACTCAGTTTAAATACAGGGATCATAAAGCTAAATAAGCTTTTGTATTTTGCTCGCAGGATCAAAGAGCTAAGAGCAGAGAAGACAACTTTGTTGTCTTAAATAAAGCACATCTACTTTCCCTGTTTCAGAAGAGGTGCCTCTTGGTCTTTCTCCATTACCAGGACATTAACAGCAGCACACTACGCTCTGCTGCCTGGTCTTCCTACAGCACGTCCTCTTCCCACACATTTCTGTTCAGCAGAACCCCGGGGCAGCTAAATCGAGACTGACAGACAGGGTACCAGGAGTATAAGTGCCTGAAGAAAAAGATACAACCACCATGGGTTTTTCGAATAAGACGTATCCATTTGCTTCTTTTAAAGCTTTGGCAGCTGCTTTTTCATTAGGGAGTCCAATGAAAGCCTGTCCCTTCATACGGCCTTCTTTCATCAAACGTATGTCAAACCTAAAGGCAAAATCCAGAGTGGGAATTACTCAGGTCTGACCACACTTTCCTCTTTCACAGCACAAACTTAGTTCTTGTGCTTCAAGCTGCAGAAAGAGCAGAAATGGGAGCAGAGTCTACAAGCAGGAATTGTGTCACTGGAGACCATTCTGCCCGGGGGAACCGTTTAGTAAAAAGTGACACTGGACTGCAGGATGGGAAACTGGTGTGCAGCTGTAGAAAATACACGTGCAAGACCGTCAGCCGCACAGGGTCATCGGCACTGTTCATTCTGTGCCGCTCAGCCAATACGCAACAAATTTGGTAACGAAAGGGCGGAACAGTGGGCTCTTCAGACACCATTCACAAAATAACTCTGCTCCTGGACTTGCGATAAATGAAGATTTTCATATGAAACACATTTTTCTGTATGCAGAAGCATAAAGAAAAAAGTGTAGATGGCCAGTTTTTACATCACAATTTTCACTAATATTACAGAAGTTTATATAAAAGGCTGAATTTTAATGATGTACCAACTAACTTACATATTTCGTTCCACTTCTGACTGGAAGTCAACGTATCTTCCAAAAATAAATTTGAGATCCTGAAATTAAAAGGTAGGTGTAAGACGAGAGCTGATAAAAAGCTCTTCTGATAAATTCTCAATTTGCTTGTTTACCTACCTTTTCTTGAACCTGTTTAGCTAAATTCTTCACATATATCCTGCAGTTTGGATCACCTGGCTCATAGTTTTTGAAAACAGAAAATCTTTCCATTTCTTAAAGAAGACAGAAAAATAATGGTTTAGCTCATTTACTTACATTGTATTTTTGCTCAATATAAAATAATGTATGAACAATTAATAAAGGCAATACTTATTCAAACTATTTGTTGCAACAAATCGAAGAGCCATTATTATTCTTCTCACAGTTTTACCTTCTTTAGAAAGTCTGTTTTTTTCTAGATCCCTCCTAGAAATAAATTCTGATGGTATTTCATCATCCTCCTCTTCAGTTTCCATTTTATCATTTGCGCTAGGGGCTGGGAAAATCCTTCCAAAGCCTGTATTATTGATTGCTTCTGTGGCTGCATAAACGTCTGAAATTTCAACACATGATTTAAGTGGGTTTTATGTCGTTTATTCACAAGCGGATCAATGGCAAGCAAAAGCACGCGGTCCTTTGGGTAACATTTTAACATAGCAGACTGTGTAGAGCACTTTGAACACAGCCGTAACGAAATGTGTCCTAACCCCTGGCCTGACATGCACACCTGCTCTATGCAGTCCTACATGACGAGCCACGGCACATGTCAGTCGAGGTACAACCAGCCTTCCTGCTCAAGCCTGTACCCATTTCAATCGTTTATCTAATTCCCAAAGAAACTGGGTGTTACTGTAGAGGACCAAGGAACACAGAACCCTACGAGGAACCCTCACACCTCATGGCTATTACGGCCCAGCATTTTTACAGCAGGCAATCACCGCAGCACGGAGGAGTTGACAATCATGCGAATGCTGCTGTCTACGAGCTGGAAAAGGGAAAGCTGGAAGTAGGCTGAGAAATGCAACTGCATTACATAGCAGTGAGAATGCATTTGTAACGTGCTAAAAACACCCTGATGTTTGAAAGAGTGCCATTCACCACGAACCCACAGATCATAGAGAGACCCTTAAAATCCCCTGGATCCCGTACTGTACCAAAACACAGAGTCCTGTACTTGGGAACATGGGAAAAACAGCAAGTGCAGGCCAAGTCGGTGACCTCACACAAACCCTGATGTCCACTATCTATGAAAGCTGCGATCCAAAAGAAAATTCCCTGGCCTGCATTTCAGCAGCCTTCTAGACACTGAAACCACACGAATTTCCTATTAAACATACTTGAAGTAGAAATTCTCTTACCATTTTTTTCTTCTTTTGCTGAGTTTATCTGAAGAACAGCTGGGATGTCAGTGGTAATATGGAACTCGATTTTTTTATGACCTACATGCTGCGGCTGCTCAAAGACATCTGAAGGTGACAGCGTAGGGTGCAAATTACTGTTCAAAAACAACATCATGTTAGTGAAAGATTCAGCCACCGATGAATGCAGAGTCGCAGACAAGGTTTTTTTCCAGAGTTTACCACAAGTACGTGAGCTCTCCATTTCATAAATTTCACCCAATACCGTTCAAGTTGATTAAGACACTTTTTCATGAAAAAAAGATTCGTATTAGTTTGACAGCAAGAGAAACCCAGAGCTGGAACAAGGCACACTTTACAGATGAAGGCTGATGGGCAGACTCAGGTTTCGGTTACAGAAAAATTTGGAACTTTAGAGCCATCAAACCAAGCACGAGGATACCACTACCACATTCATGGATCAGTGAAGAATGCTCGTGTTAGAACAGCAGCACTAAAGCAAACCTGATACAGAGAACGCCGTTTAGTAAAAGGAATCATCCTACGGAAAAGTGCAAAGCCACAGAAACGGTACAAACCTGTGGGGAGCACACACAGGCACACTCAGCAAGTCTTTGATTCTTTGCTTTTTCCTAACGCCACGCCTCTTGGTGTTTATTGGTCTTTTAGGCTGAAGGGTTGCTAATTCCATCAACTTGGTCATTCTATTTAACCAAAATTTTAAAAAGAATTGAAGTGGTTTAGAGTTTATTTGAAAATAATCACTTTGACCCCCCCCCCCCCCTTTTCTTTAAAGCCCGTGGAATGCAACTTTTCAAAACATGATTACAAACCCAGCTACCTCAAGACCAAAGCGACACTAATCACCTGTAACACACAGGAAATCAATATACAGGGAGCACTTAAGTCGCCAGTCAGGATCATGAGTTCAGAGACGCCCCTGCCTTCCCCAAGCATGCACCTCATTAGGACACTGAAGCTGCAGCAATGCTCAGCAGCCCCAAGCTGAACTCTTTTTCATAACACTATCCCCACTCAACAGGAGTGTCTTTCTCCACATGCATGTATTTTTCGGAATATAGCATCGGGACTTTCTGATTTACCTCTCAGTTTAAATAGCAAATAAAGATAATTGCTTTTTCATTCAGCATTGGTTTAAAGATTTAAAAAACCCACAGCTATGATGTAATTCAGTCCCAAAACCCAAGAGAATCCTCAGCACACACAGGAGCCCATTGTTATTTTTCCCAGCAATCCACACCGACGTGCAAAGAACACTTTGGAAGTCAGACTGCACGTGTGATTCAGGCTGAGTAGTTTACTCAGTAAAGACATGGAAACATGAGGAATCTAGAAAACAAACTAATTATTGCTTCCTTATATCTGCACTCTCTTATTCTGAGATTCTGTTCCTTGGACATGGGAACAAGTGAGAATTTGCCTCCCATTCGGCCCTTTTCCTTCTCTGTGATACAAAACAGCACTGTCCTCCTGTTTTTAAGGCATGCTGGAGCCTCCATAAGCATCTGGAAAGCTTATCTATATACTGCAAACGTTAACCAATTCCACCAGGAGCTGAACTAAAGCTAGAGAAGTAAACCCACCACTTTAGGAGCGCTAAGAAGCTTGCAAGTGACTGGCAAATCCATACCTCTCCTTTTCCTGCTCATCATCACTTTCATATTCCGATTCATCTTCACTAGACTGTTGCTCTTCTTCCTCCTCAGGCAGAGGCGGCTCTTCAGGAGGCAGAGGTGGGATCGGGGGAGGGGGCACAGGCACCGATAGATACTCTTCATACTAATCATGGGGAAGAGTTAAAATACATAACTAAACTTTTGGAGAAAAAAAATATGTATTTTTGTTTTCCTTTACGTAATAAAAAGTCAAAGCAATAAATCAGAAGATGACAAGAAGCATTTTTTACAGTACGTTTATAGGGACGTAGATGCTATTTTGCTGAACTACATTACTAATGAAAGCTTTCCACAAGAACAAAAAAAATTGCTGGTTTCTGAAGCATTAACATTCAATGTTTCCAGCCTTTTAACCTGAGGAGTTAAAAAATGCCAACGATGGCCCCGGGTCTTTCCTTTGCACTCAGCTTTAAGGACTTTCCTGAGAGTAACGTGGCCAAAATCTATGGGAGGAGGGCTAAGCTCCCAAGCCACCTGCTTCCACGCAGGACCCTCCCCCACCTACGCAAGTCCTGCTGTTTCTGTAAGAAGTGAGGATTTCACGAGAGGGACCTGTTTTTGCATTGAGACTGCAAAAGCCACACATAAGGAATTCTCCATGTACGAAATCCTCTCCAGCCCCGCTGGCCACAACCTTCCTACACTGCATAGGTACCATCAGGTTCCCTGGGAACCTCAGGGACTGGCTTCTCACCTTACTACTCTTTTTCCACACCATTAAATTCCATGCTTAACCTGACCCAATACCAGGCAATGAATAAAATCATTCCTACAAAAAAAAAAAAAAACACCAGCGTGAATTGGTTTATTTCATTGTTTGCTTACCAGCTCCCTCCCCTGTTATTGTAGGGCATACACAACGTGTAGCGGGGCACAATTTCATTATAGCCAAACACTGTAACTCTCACTATCAACCCAACTCCTACTTGCTCCATCTTTCACTGGAGTTAAACTACTCCATGGCAGCAACAGAGAACTGAGACCACCGAGCTGGAATTTCTGTGTCCCTTCAGAAACAGCTTCTCCTAAGCCTCTGCCAGTTTCCCTCTTTCAAACATCCTGGAGACAGAGCAAGTTAAATCCCAGCGCACTGTATCACCTAATTAACAACCTGTATCTAATCAGAACTCCAAAGAAACACACAGAGCACAGGACTCAACACCTCTCAGTAAGAACACGGGCTAATGGTACTCCTTAGTTCCTGTAACCTTTCATTTTTATAACACTCCAGAGTTTGAAATATTCCCGTGCTACTCTGATACCTGTGTATGTCTTTGTTCCGAGTATAGTCAAAAAGATTTCTTCAGAAGACGAACATACACATCTTACCCAGTAAAATGCAGCAGTATTTGCTGCCCCCTAGAGATTTCTCCAACTTTCAGAAGTTTGGGCTTAGCTCTCCTACCACTTTGTTAACGTTCTAAAGCATGAATCTGTTTTACAGTATTTAAAACATACATTAATGAAGTTACCATGGGAGGGCGAGCAGTCATTGGTCCAAAAGGTGGAGGGAGATTCATTTTATTCATAAGATGCAGTACCTGAAACGATTCGAGATAAGCAAGATGTCTTTTAAACAATTAAATAAATAAAGGGAAACAGTTCCTTGCGAGGTATCATAGCTGGTAACTTCTGGCAGGGGGAAATCAGCCCACTTTTAATGCAGACACTACTACACTGGTTTTTAAAAGATGTGAATGCTTGCACTTGGGATCTCACACTAATGGTAAATATGAGCAACACCCCATAAGGATAATGAAAACACAAAAAGCATCTTCTCAGAATAAGATTCCAAGTACTTGAGTCACAGGTAGGAAGATCGTATCCAGGTAAGTCTTCAACATCAAGTAAATTCCTTCTGTTCAATGAAATCTTATCTCAACACAGCAAAAAATTAACACAAGTTAACACTATCACAGGAAAACTAACTTACTAACTTACTGTGCCAGAAATTATTTCTGTGAATGATTAAAAGAGGAAAAAGGAAATGGTTTTATTTTTATGCGTTCATTTTTTGCCATTTTTCACTTACCTGGACATAAAACTTGGGCACACTTGCCAAGGCATTTGCTATGTTTGCTAGAATTGTACTTGAAGGTGGTGGATACAAATATTTGAGACAAGAATTGATGGGAAAGGTGAGGCTGAGGGGCAAATAAAAAAAATAAAAAAGAAAAATATTAAAACCAAGACATCTTAGCACCACTGCCACAGAACGACTGATAACAATTAATCATTACTGTAAGTCTAACTAGTCATTACATCTGAAGTATCACTGAAATATAAACATATGGGTTTAAATAGAAAGTGGGAAGGTTTAGATTGGGTATCAGGAAGAAATTTTTCCCGGAGAGGGTGGTGAAGCACTGGAACAGGTTGCCCAGAGAAGCTGTGGATGCCCCATCCCTGGAAGTGTTCAAGGCCAGGCTGGATGAGGCTTGGAGCAGCCTGGTCTAGTGGAAGGTGCCCCTGTCCATGGCAGGGGGGTTGGAACTAGATGGTCTTTAAGGCTTCTTCCAACCCAAACCGCTCTGTGATTCTATGATCAGTATTTCCCCTGCAACCGTTTTGAGCCACTTTCATTATGGTCTTTAACCTCCAGGAGCAGCCCCTGAGGTCCAAGGGCCATAACACACTCCAAAATAAAGCATTACAAAACAAAACAACTATGACAAAAGACTCCACTAACCCATGGTTGGGTGCAATTCCATTATCTATTTTAACACAGCTTGGTTCTTTCTTCTCTTCTTCTTTCACTGGTTCTTCTGAACTGAAAATTAATTTAGCATTTAATAAAACTTAAGAGCTTTACATAATATCTGAAATATGTTTAGGTATTAAATTATATAAGAAAATATATAAGAAATAGATTAGTACAATATTTTTAACATCTTTTATCAACTGCATTACTACAGCCATTACTAGTTCTTAAGAATTAATACATCTGGATAATTACAGTAGCCAGACTTCTAAAACAAATCATTATGCAGTTTTAAGTCTTCCTATATCCAAACACTTTTGACTTGAATCTACTCACAGGAAAAAGAACCAAAATTATTTCCTGTTACACTCTGTAAAGGAATTCCTTTCCTTGGCCACAAACATCGAAACTAAATTATGATGCACATACCTTTTACAGTGTTCTGCGACAGAAGGCTGGCTAAGTACCTGCACGCTATCTTGCTCCTTTGCAAATTCAACAACTAAGGTGTGACCCAAAAGTTTCAGCTGATGCAGTCTTGACAAAGCCTTCAAATAATCGTTACGGAGAAAAGGGAAGAGGAAAAACATCAGAACTACTACAAAACATAACTTTTTCCTTTGTAAAGTAAGGAGCGAGACTGCAGCCTTAACAGTGAAACTTCTTCCATAGCTTCCATGACTGCGAGCACCCACGAGCCTCGCACCCGCCAGCTACACACACGCTGACGTCCCCTGGAAATAGCTGGGACTTTAAAATTGAGATTCTTTGCAGTGACACTAGGAAGCTCCAGCATTCCACAATTCCAGATCTTGACAGGCTGCTAACAGTTGACACAAGGCAACCTAAATTCACCACTGTAACCCCACACAGTCTTTGTAGCTTTTTTTGAGCAGTACTTCAGACATGGCCTAAAAAAAGAAAATAAAAGCAAGACCAAAAAAGCCATGGCATAAGAGGAAAATTCAGGACACAGGCTTTTCACCAGATTCGTATTTAAAAAGCATTTTTGGTACTACCTTTTTGGCATCCATGTCCCCAATTAACAGGGTCGTTTTCGTATCACAGCTGGGCACTCAAGACAGCCTTGCACTGTGTACATCGTTAATTTCATTTTTGGCATCCATGTCCCCAATTAACAGGGTCGTTTTCGTATCACAGCTGGGCACTCAAGACACTGTGTACTGTGCACATTGTTGCACTGTGTACATCATTAATTTCATGGCGATTATGGACGAGACAACTTGGTTTAACATTTACTTATAAATGCAAACGCACCCTAGACAAGGCCCTGACCAGTCCAACTCACCTAAGTTTGCCATGCTCGAGCTGACAGGGTGGATCAGATGATGTCCACAAGCCCCTTCCACCCCATCTTATGACTCTACAGAAGTGTTTGTTTCACCAAATCCTCCACGCACCTCCTCAAATCGAACCAGAATATTACACTGCCCTGCATTTTTTCCCACCACCGAGTACCAGAATTATGTGTAAAACATTTAGAGCACAACTGGCAATTCAGAAAAGTGCTTTGTCAAAGCATTCCATCACAAGCTCAATACAAACCTTCACAGCTGAATTTTCACTGGGAAAGGTGGCAAAAGCAGTATGTTTCTAGAAAACAAACAAACAAAAATTGTCAGGCTGAATTCAAATCAAAAAGGCAAGAAACTGCATGTAAAACACAGACCCACAGGTCATTCCTAAGCGTGAATTTACACATTTGAAAGCTTCCAGACATCCAGCTTCCAGTCATCTAGCTCCCACGTGGGGCAAAGGGGAAGGACTAGAGCACGTTTTTCTTAATACTTTAAGGCAACTGCCTACTGCAGTCGAAAACCATACAGGAACTCAGCAGTTTAAGCAATACAGGAAAACAGTACTTTCTTCCTAGTGAGCAAAAGCAATCCTCAACTGCAAAAAAGTGTGTCTTGATAAGTAAGTTTAATCCTCTTTTCAAAAAAGGAAATGTATTCCAGCACCTATCAGCAGAACATTTCCATGACAGCAACTCCTACAAATAATACTTTTCCTGCTATAGAAATTGTAACTCCTATTGTGCCCTGAAAGCTTGGATAGTTCCTAATGAATATTTTCCATTGTTGTTCAAGTCTAAAAAAAAACCCTTAAGCTTTCTAAATCAGATCAGATCCTCAGAGAATACACAGATCATTTTAAACATAAATTTGTTTCAACAAACCTTATTACTTCATCCTGCCACTATGTGATTCGGTATTAAAACTCCAAACCATTAATACTGTTACAATGGCAGCTATCAGGAAAATCATTGCAACGAAGTCAGTATTTTTAATATCCTATAGAAGAACGCATGACCCTGGCACAGGACACAGACATCATTTATCTGCAGCTCTGCAGGAATACAAGGCACTTTCTAAACAGCATTCATCACCAGATACTCCTATGTTCTTGTGATTTGATGGAAGGAAAATATGAAGTAGATTTCAAGAGGCAGACCTGTGGAACTGCATCCCTACACCCACCTACAGACCCTTCTGCACTGCTTTTCCACAGCCTTATTCCCAGCAAGCAAGGCCAAAGCTGTGGTCAAGGACACGGGACTTTTACAAGGGCAGTGACACGGGGTAATGGGTTTAAACGGAAACAGGGAGATAGAGATGGGCCATCAGGAAGAA